TGCATTGTGAGCACTCCCTGGGCGGCCCAATTTGAGATATCCAGAATGCAACGTTTTATTGGGAGAATCTTCGCAGATGAAGCACTTCTTGGCAATGATATCAGCGAAACTCATTAAAATTGCCTGAGAAATTCCATTTAGGCCGGATGAGTGTTAGGTCCGTAATGAACGCGGATACACAGAAATGACAGGATAATAATGAATGTCAATGTGACGACATCCCTTATATAGTCGAAAGCACGTGTTTGCCGGCAAAGCGCAATAATGTGCACATGCTGAAACACTGGTGTTAAATTGAAGAACCACTGTTACCAATGTGCACGATTTGATTTTTAATCTGTATTTGTGTCAGTGTGAACGTTTTTCAGCGGCTTCTGATGTGATGCTTACCTATTTGAGATATTCTAGGTGGGCTTTACCAGAGCAGTTTGGAAGAGAAGCCACGTGAATTGACCGATCATCCGACTGACAAATACCAACCACATGAGTTTACCCGATGGAAAATTTCCTCACCCAGTGTGAACAAAGCACGGCACACTGTGTTCGCAAGTTAAGCTATCCTCAGCCGAATAGTGCTACCATTGGGGACAAATATTTCATTATATTCTGTGCACTGGAATCGTTAAATTGCTGCGCATAAGACGGTCTGGGGCAGCACATTCAGTTGCGTGGAAACGCCACAAACGAGAGAACCAGCTGGCGGTCTCCCGCAACTGGAAGTTTGTTTGCCAATGAGTGTATTTCGTTAATTTGGTGGAATTTGTAGAACAGAGTTTTGACCAAAGACTCGTGGACTGCGCCTATCTGATGGGCCCTAAGATTAGCAAACTCGGCCATATGCTGACAAAGAATTACCCGAACAATTGTATTGTTGAGTAAAAATGGAATATGGGGTAAGTAGTCACAGTCAGCGTTGTCAGAATTTCACGTCTTTTGCGCAAAATCTTCGTCGATGGTGTAATTCCAAGAGCCGCATTGCAGTGCTCGCAGCGGAAGTCACTAAAATGCATCTGAGATACGCCAATTCTTCCGCTTTAGTATAAGGCGAATTATTGGAGTGGGAGGAATGATACCCTGATAACTACGAACGCAAAAATGACCACATTTCTTGTGCAGTCTTCATAACTACTTCAAAACAAACAGAGGACTGTAACCAAGAGGCACGTTTCGACTGTAAAAGGAATGCACAAATGTAGTATGCCTTAGGGGTTGTGTATGATCTGACTCTGGTGTGGCTGCCGAGGCCATAAGCTTTTGTTTTCATATCTGAATTTTTGCCTTGTCATGAATGACGTCTCCCTATCACTGAAGTCACGGTTTTCACTTCACTAATGAGTGTACCTAGAAGATTCGGTTATTTCCCAAGTATTTGAAAATGGCCAACGGATTCCGTACTGAATAAAAGACAGAGATTTTGAATCGTTCATTGTGGGAAGCAGTACTCATTTTGAACTATAATCGATGGTTAGTTGTGCGCTATTCTGCGCATATTCGACCAGACTCCTATTATAACTGGTCGATGGTAAACTACGGAAATGATATTGTTGCGCTTGTCGCCTAGCTACCTGAGAAAGTTCCAATTCACATGTATCCTCAGATTGAACCGGCAATTTCTTCTGAACTCAGCTAAAAGTGTAAAGTTTGTGCGGCCTGACATTGTGACTGCGTAAGGAGTTCTCTACTGATGGTGTGATTTGCCTTGTTCTATTTCTAATACGTTTTTATACTTTTAGTGGGCGAGCCGGCTGAATTAGGGATACAGTTTCGGTAATGATGGCAATTCGTTCGGTCTACGTTCTCAACGTCTTGTTCATCGGTAACGTTCCCAGGAAATCCCAAGCTGTACAATGTCAATGTGAAGATTTTCGTTACCGTTAACATGGATTGTTACACATATAACAGTGTGAAAGTCCACGACAATGTGGTCCGTGAGGCTAACTGGTTTTCGTTGGCGGCGTGAACGTACTTAACGGTTGAACGGAATGGAGCAGCGCTTGGAGTTGTTTCATAAACAACGTTATAAGTTCCGGACGGTTATGGATTTCACAAGACGATTGCCACTATTGAATTATACGCAGTTCGCAGCCAGTAGCAATAGGAGAAGAAGGACGTACGGCAACAGATGATATATTGAGGACTGACACGATCTGGTTATACAGACAAACGGATTAGTGTTACCAATATTTTACCAGCGCACGTATGACGCATCTGAATTCTCACCTCCGGACGGGCGGAAGTGATAACGATTTAGCGATGGGATTGGCATGGACGAGGAATCACCGATCCGACGTCTCAGATTTTTTCCTGGTTATGACGATCGACAGGCCCACCTGCGCGGAATTTCCAATGACTTGACGGCTCGCATGTCAGGTTCTCGGATTTGAAACAAGGGCACGGCAATATATATGCACCGTTGGTAAGGACAATCACCAGAATCACCCGAATAATTATGCCGGGACAGGAGAATGACTGTTCAAAAGAGAGTGGTGTGAATATGACCCTAGGTGGGTCACTGGTGGGCCACTAGAAATGGGTCGGAAATGTCACCCATTGGAGCTGACCTTTCGGGTACGATGAGGTTGATGATGCTTGCTCACATTGGATGAGAGCCTAGTTCGGAAACACTACTGCCCCGAGTACCTGAGTCACAAGGCTAGCTTCAACTATCTGCGGCCAATATTCTTTGTACTTGATCGAAAAGATGGGACGTGAAGCGTCGGTTCCCAGTACGTAGTTAGTTTGCGGCTACTTCTGGATGAATACCAATTTCTTGCAACCATGCTGGCAGTTCATCTCATTGTTGGATCGCCCAGCAATGGTAATCCATAAATATGCATCAATTTTTGTTTTGCTCGACTTACTAGGTGGATGCACCAGCGCTCTGCCGAGGGATATCTGGTAATATCCCCGGATTCCTATCCTTCTGACTTGGTAAGCGTGGATCGCCCATGGTAATCCATAAATATGCATCAATTTTTGTTTTGCTAGACTTACTAGGTGGATGCACCAGCGCTCTGCCGAGGGATATATATCTATATCCCCNGGGTATGAGAAGTAGTCATTGAAAAATTCGATGAACGTTTATCCGTCAAGTTTTGACATAATATGGTATTTAGTAGGTTGTTGAGAGCCCTTCGGCAGCCTGCTACCGGTTTCGTGTATGCTGTGGTACATCAGTTGGATGCAGTTCTCGGGTATCCATTTAGGTCACTGGTCGTGAGATGAATTGCATGGTTGAGCTGTTTGCGATCATGGGTCCCAACGGGCCTAGTTGAGTTGCTCATCAGATTGGATTTGATATCCGGATTATTATTAGGTATACTTCGTGCCGTGGCTTATGTAGTTTCTTTCTGAAGTGTGTGTGCAATGAATGTCTGCTTATCTACGCAATACGTTTCCTGTGACAGGCAACAACAAACGTATCGTCGTATATCTTTTACTCTCGTCTATATGTATTCGATATTCGTTTCAGAGCTAAACGCGAAGCCCAGTGGTTACCTGCATGTGTGCTCTGCATTCAGGGTTTTCACTACGTTTCATTATTTTCGTTCGTTCAACACGCTAGGTGATCGTGCAGAGTTGCGCCACATTATGAACTTCTAAGGCATTCATGTCGGGACGGCAGTACGAACGCTGTCCCAAATTGGAAACAAATAAAAATGTCTGTGTTTTCAGTGCCTGTTATGGCAGCTGCAGATCCGTACGCTGTTTGCGTGTTGAAGTGCTTACTCGGTAACTAAAGCCGTTCGGCGAAGTATATTTTCTTTTCCTGGATACGAGCATAAATTTCACATATTATCCAGCTGTGTAGTAGATGAGAAGCATCAAATTTTGAAATCCAAACATCAAATTCGATGGGGTTTTTGGGGCCGGCGAGAAGCGGAACTATACAGATGAAAATGGCAACATCCGCAGAATACTTCCTGCTTGGTCGGTGCCTTCAAAATTAGGGTGCATATTCACTCCGGAGATTGTTAATCGACTTTGTCTCTGACGATACACTTGTTCACAAATTCGTCTTGGGGCGCTAGCATATACCGACGTTTTTGAGGGAAAGCGAATTGAATCATGGCTACTTACTTTCCTTCAGTAAAATGAATCCGATGAGCGTTATTTCGTTGTCCCCGTATTCTCTTTTGATCAGGTTCCATTGTTACGATGCTTTTGATGCGGTACCTCCATCTGGAGGCTACAGCATATTTGGTCTGGAGCGCGAGTTGGGAGATTACGCACTGTATATATACTCAGAAGGTAAAACTGCAAGCTAATTCCAGACATTCTTCAGCACTCGAGTTTTTGTGGTATAAAACTTTGTCTAAACGGCGTGACGTCCGATATTTCGAGCTAATGTTCAGTGGGATTCTGCTACTGCAGTAAAATTGTCTTCGGCCATATGGCTTTGAAGACTCAATGTGTGTTCCAACGAAAGCGCTTGAGTTTGAAAGCGAACGAAATGCCCAGTCTTCCCTCAGAGGAGCAATTCTGATCCTCCGTTGAGAACTCAACGCCGCTGAATCAAAGTGAGTTCTTCTTGATGGTGACTGAGATAATTGATCTCTCGAGTACGCGAATGCCACCATCCTTTGGTAATACCGATTGATGATACGAGGCACAATATGTCCGGATTTTTTGAATTCTCAACATTTATCAGAAAACAAAATTTCTCAGAGATAATCTGGCGTGTTTCTTGCGCAAGTGCCACTGGATGAAGCGAGCCGGTTCCCCTATTGATCGTCTAGATCCCGCAGGCTTCCGAGTAGTACACAGATTCATGGTGATCTGGAAAGTGCAGAAAAACGGATCCATACGATCACTGGATTCATCTGCACTCATTCGGCCGAAGTTCAATGTGTTCTTCAAAGCTCATCAAATCTGTCGGAATTCGCCTGTTTGTATGCACAGACGGAATGTAATCTAGTTCATATGGGTCATCTTTGCACGTCAATAGGGCCCGGAGAGTAGTTCCCCGTAGAATGTCTCGATTTCTGCCAGACGCACCCCCAGTTGCTGGTGATCAATGTGTCGACGTTGCTGTTTTTCACATAATTGGGGTTTCGTTTCTCAAGACTCCATTAACCGGTATAGGTTTGCTTCATGACATTTTTCTCACCATTGCTAAACTTTGTTGCCCTCCTTTGTCTCGAAACGATCCGTAGATCCACTATTCTGATTAAAATCTGTCGGATTCTGCTCCGTTTACTGCTGCCAATGGCGGTTTATTTATCATACTCCACCATGCTTGTTAGATTTTACAAAAGACCGGATTATTTGTCTGCCGAGTGCCCATCATGTTTTGTTTAGGGCTGAACGCCGGTTTATCAACAAGTGTGAACACCGTATGCCTGTGCGAACATGGGAACATGGACGTGTTATTCGTCCGACTTCCTCCGCGAGTTCCTTTGCACAACCACGTGAAGGGTGGATATGCGCCAGAAGCGGTCAAACGATGAGTTGGCAGCGAAGTATATAAGCCACTACCAGCAAACTCAGGTGCGCTGGTCATTGCCGACTTCCTCGATGGTGACCCACAGACGAGCCACATGAATTGTTGTAGATATTGTCAGGCATGTCCCAGTCGCGCCTTCGAGAGCACTCGTGCATGCAAGACCAAATTCATCATCTCCACCATCCAATGTGCGGCTACCTACCCAACCTCCCTAAATCATCGATGAACTAAACTGTGGCAGCTAAAAGCACTGTACGGCAATTAAACGGTTCTTAAAGCTGACAATGATATATATATATAT